ATGTTACTCTGAGTGTATATCCACACCGGGCAGGCTTGAAAAATATGCCTGGCCACGGCGGGATTCGAACCTACGACCTTTGGAATACTAGCCCAAGGTTCGAATCCCGCCGTGGCCAGGCATATTTTTCAAGCCTGCCCGGTGTGGATATACACTCAGATTTCATATTTTGTATATGTTTGTATTACGTACGGAAATTGTTACCATTTTTGAGCCGAAAATGGTAACAATTTCCGCACGTAATACCAACATACAGTATACAAAATTTGCAAGGCTTTGCAAGACTATATTTTCCAAGCTTTACAACATTTCGCAACGAAATTTTGCAATTTTACTAATTTCATTATGCTCTCTTTAGCTGTGTTGTCCCTTCTCTTTACTTAGATTAAAATTTAGTCTGACATGCGAGTTCTCCATTGATAAGTATTAATTTGATTTCAGGTGTGCAAGAAATGGGCGTTGCCGAGGCAATCGTCCATTCCATAGACGCTACACCAACAGGTATAGGCAACAGCAGATATTACAACTGTCTTGTAAATAAATTTCTTTTCAAGATTTTTCATGTCATGAATTTTACGCTCGAAATTTGTATGTTAGTTGAAGCAGGAAATGAAAACGTATTGAAAATTCTTTTCTTCATCCCATTTCAGATATGCAGCCGCATTTCTACACAAATATTTTATTGACCGGAGGAAGCTGTCTATTTCCTGGCTTTAAATCAAGATTGTAAGTCGACACATTTAAAATATATGTATATTTATAAACGACTATGTATGAAAATCTGCCAGCACTTATGGTGTTGAAGCTCGGAGACCCGGGTTCAACCCTTGGTCGGATCTCTACTCAAGGTTTTAAAATAATTGAGAAGAAAGTGCTATACCTTTACATTGACATTAGTAAATGGTTAGACTTTTGTCGCGTCTTCTCGGATAAGGACGTTAAGGTTACAGAACACCTTTGAGTGTTAATTTTGTCTAAAAAATTTTTTATTGGTTTCCATGAAAGCATTAGACTAGTTCTACTATCTGACCAAGTTTGAACGAAAAATGTTGAAAACTCGCAGAGTTATTTAATAAAATACATTTCGCTGCAATAAGAAAAACATTGAAAATGTAATATTCAAATTCAATTTTCTCCCGAAAAAGTTTACGGTAATTACTGATTTTCAAACGAGTTGTGCTCCTGTGGGTTTTAACCAATTTTTCTCAAATTTTCACATGCAGGACATAGCTAAAGACGTCAGTTTCAAACTTGTGTTCGGCTTTTTTTTAATTTTGGATATTTTAAAAATAAAGAGCAATTCACTCAAACAATTCAGAAATATATTGCAGTCGTCAAAGAAATCGCCATATCAGCGGAACGACGAAATAAACAAAAATTTCCGAACACAATTTTTTAGAACAACTATTTTACTGTATAAAAATGATATTTTCATAAATATAACTTAAAACCAGCAGGAGCACAACTCAAAACCGTAACGGTACCAAGATTTAAGATTTTCCTGAATAATTCTTACATTATATTTGTGGTGTTACTCTGAGTGTATATCCACACCGGGCGAGCTTGAAAAATATGCCCGGCCACGGTGGAATTCGAACCTACGACCTTTGGAATACTATCCCAATGCTCTTCCAACTGAGCTACGCGGTCAGGACGGTTCGAGTAAGTGATATTTCGGAACAGAATCTAGTTCCTTCGATACCAATGTATTCTAGTAATATGAATTTTTCTGTGCTGGTGTTGTGTACTCAGGTGAATAATATGTTTGTGGTGTTACTCTGAGTGCATATCCACACCGGGCGAGCTTGAAAAATATGCCCGGCCACGGTGGGATTCGAACCTACGACCTTTGGAATACTAACCCGTATTCACCTGAGTACACAACACCAACACAGAAAAATTCATATTACTAGAACACATTTGTATTGAAGGAACTAGATACTGTTCCGAAATATCACTTACTCGAATCGTCCTGACCGCGTAGGTCAGTTGGAAGAGCATTGGGCTAGTATTCCAAAGGTCGTAGGTTCGAATCCCACCGTGGCCGGGCATATTTTTCAAGCTCGCCCGGTGTGGATATGCACTCAGAGTAACATCGCAAACAAATTCTTACATTATTTTATTGTTTGCTAATTTTACAACTTTACCATATTTTGCATGCACTGGAGAACATTTGGTGAAAATTTGATGAAAATCGGAGTAGCGAAAATCGAAAATCGCGCAGTAGCGATTTTCCGCAAAACGCCAAAAAGGGTGTCATGTAACCTTAATAAGATCGCATTTAAAACTAAAATTAGGAATACTCCAAACTTAGATAGTATAAATTTTCTTAAAGAAGCAGCTGTAAATAACAACAAGAATACCAAAGACTTCAAATATTTCTAAACAGGTATGATTTTGTAAATTTTATATTAGTTTAGTTTCGCAGGTCCACACGAGCTAAGATTGTGACTAAACGAAATGAGTCTAGATTAAATAACCATCAACTGCTCAACAACTTCAGCTCCAAGGATGAAGAGCTAACTGTGATATTCAAGTTGTTATTGATCACTATGCTTGTGTTGAATATCTCAAAATATGCAGCTAAAGGTGAGCCAAGATCACCTATATTGAAACAGGCATTCAATTCTATTGTGCAAAATGCCGACAGTAATACTGACCCTCATAGAGTTATTAAGAAGGTAGTTATGAATTCTCTTGGTGAAAGAGATTATGCAGCTTTGTTGTCATTAAAACTCCACAGCTCATCCTTTAAAGTGATGCCAGTTAGTCTAAATGGTTCACGTAGAGTGCGCGATACTGCAAGTATTGACGAGGGTGAATCATGCACCGATTATTCACTTCTTGATGTGTATGCTAATCGTGAACAATATGACAGTTCACAAAATATAATAAATATGAACTTTGTTCAATTTGCTACAACTTACAAAGTTGTTAACAATGAACTGACAAAATTGCCAGAGAATATTATACCACGAATATTTCCAACATATTCTCCTAATCCCAAAGGTCCAAATTTTGGGCTTTATTGTAAATATCAATTTGTGAGGTATAAACCGCGGAGAGCAACCCAAAATAATGCATGGGGTGACGAAGAACCAACTGACGAGGTTCTGATCAATTGTTGGCATGAATTTTTACAAACACCTTATGGTCAGTCTAATGTCCCAGACTAGTTTGATAAATTACAAGCTGTCATTGAAAGTCAAGAAGCAGAAGATGAACCTTCTGAAGAACAGGAGACAACTCGAGAAGAGTGGATGATATTATCAAACCTCAACACTCCTTTTGACAACTCTGAACAAACACCAGAGTCCACATATGACTGGCAACTCGACAGAGCCAATTATTCAGAACAACAAATTCAAGAAATGCCAACATGGATAAAAACAAACAAAGAGGAATACACTATTGATGAGCAATATAATGTTGTTGACATCAACACTTTTAGCGAAATGCAAAAACTTTCTTATGACATTGTTAAGTCTCATTTTGAAGATGCATCATCTGAGAAAGAACCATTATGTCTCATTATAAATGGTGTTGCAGGAACTGGTAAAAGTTACCTTATTAATGCTATTAGAAATATTTTGCAAAGTAAATGTGCTGTTATTGCTACCACGTACAGGTAAAGCAGCTTATAACATTAGAGGTGTAACTGTGCATTCTCTATTAAAGTTACCTATAAGATGAAGAGGTAATAAAGACCTCACAGGACAAAGCTTGTGTAGGTTACAAGAGAGTGTTAATAACATTGGATACATCATTATTGATAAATACTCCATGCTTGGCCAAGTTACTTTTGGTTGAATAGACAAGCGTTGCAAACAAGCAACTGGTTATAATGACAAGGTATTTGGAGGAAGATCATTGATTTTAATTGGTGATCCACGCCAATTGCCACCAGTAGCAGATAAACCTCTTTACTATGCTAAACCATCAAACGCTGTTGCTAAACAAGGTCATCAAGCATATCATATGTTTGACATAGTTGTCAAACTCACTGTAAATCAACGTGTGCAAGGTATGGCATCTGAGCAAGTACAGTTGAGAGATTTGTTATTGCGAAAAGATATCCTCAGATGATATGTCTGGGTTAGAACCCGTTGTGTTTCTAGCAAAAGGTGCTAGGGTCATGTAACAATGAATTTGTGGTCAAGTGTTGGCCTGTGCAATGGGGCTACTGGCACAGTTGTTGATATTATCTATCAGAACAACCATCAACCTCCTGACTTACCTATTGCGGTAATAGTAGAATTTGAAAACTATATATGAGAGGACCTGTTTTTAATGAAAAGCAACCATTGTGTATCCCAATAATTCCAATCACTGTCGCATCACAGACAGAAATAGGTTTCCATGAGAGGCTCTTATAGGCTTGCTTGTGCTCTAACAATACACAAGAGCCAAGGACTCACACTTCCAAAAGCATGGATAGATATTGGCAAATCTGAAAGAACTACTGGAGTTTCTTATGTTGCTATTAGCAGAGTAAAATCACTTGCCTCTTGTGTCATTGACCAATGACATATGAACGATTAACAAGCTTGAAATCATTAGCCAACTTACAATGTAGGCTTGAAGAAGAAAACAGGCTAGATCAGTTAGCACAGGCTACTAGCAGTGCATTCAGAACAACAAACTATTGAGTTTGAATAAGAGAGGGTTTCATATATGGATCCCAGTTATAGTTTCGTATGTACTTTGACTATATACCCTTTTCAGTAATTTAATTTATTATATAATAACTAATTTAGTCCTTGTTATCACTGTATGTATGAAAATATTATGATTTGCAAGACAAAAGAATGGTAAGTTTTTTGTTTGTTTAGCCCCTCCCCCTGCCCTACTTTTATTTTAATTAATTTATGTGTTACTATGTTTCCACATAAATATCTCATGCTACCAATTTTTGTTGCAAGCCATATATGCATGGCATGCAACTTTCATATAGCTCTAAATTTCGTGTCGTGTTCGGTGAGCGGTGATCGGTGAGCGTACCAGTCACGTGGCAGATTCGTAAATACGACAAATACCGAGTTAACGACGAGCATTTTCATGCCGGGTTTTCGTCGAGGAAACGCAAAGAAAAATTATATATTGATTATTCGCCGAAAATTTACATAATCGAGCGCCTTAGAAAAATAAATCGAGGTAGGTAAAGCTTTACTGTTTTAACTTACCTTATATTTTGTTATGTGTTGTGATTTTGGAGCCGTTGTGCTCGCACTGATTATATTGTGTGCAAAGCTTCAAAACTACAGCATATTTTGTAAACAACATGAAATATAAATATCAAACACAATTTAAATTATAAATAGTAATACAATTGAAAGCCTCAAAGCCGCGAACGCTATCAAAATACTCGATTTTTATATACTCAAACTGAAACGGAGCCATTGTGCTCGCACTGATTATATTGTGTGCAAAGCTTCAAAACTACAGCACATTTTGTAAACAACATGAAATATAAATATCAAACACAATTTAAATTATAAATAGTAATACAATCACTCTCCTCCGCAGAGCCTTACGACCCCCCCCCCCCCGTCGCGCACCACTAAATATCCTCTACTATCCCTACAAATCCTATATAATTCAGACTCTGCGGAGGAGAGTGGTAATACAATTAAAATCGAGATTGAAATGTACAACGAAATAGCAACCATTGTGAAGTACGCATAAGATTCAACATGACAATGTGATGACATTCGATATAGTGTAAATTAACTCATTTCAATCACTCAAACGTCAAAATGATAAATAATGATTTCCAATCTATTGTAGTAATTCACCGTTTCCACGAGTTTTTTATACCCCATTAAAAAGTTACAATAAAGCTATATCTATAGGAAATAACGTTATTTAGTTATTAATTTGTAAAGTAAATCTAACAGTCAATCGCTTTTGATAAAACCTTGACCCGCCTTGACATTGTTAAAGGGGCCCTACAGTCATTTTTTAGTCAAGTAAGTATTGTTTACATTTTTGTTATTGTCGCTACTTGACATGCGCATCACGGCATGCATGCGTCTTCCGGTGTGCGGAAGTACTCATATTCATGGATACTGCATGTAAGATACAGCCAAACGAATCTCCGTGGAGTCCCCTACTTAAGGTGGCTTTTCGACTAAAAAATGACTGTAGGGTCCCTTACTCCCTTTAATGTTATTATTACCGTCGCTTGCAACTAACTATTAACGATCGCTTAAAAAAACATTGTCTATATTCGCGTGTTTCTGCTGGGGTCTACACCGTAGGCAAATTCGCGTGAGAGTCTTAAGTTTTCTTATTTTGACATAATAGCTATTTTGCAATAAATATATTGATATTAAATTTATTGAATCGATATTTTAAGTTTCACGCCAGTTGTACCAAAGGTTATAAGCGCTATAGCGCATCATAAGCATAGATATCTTATATAAGATATCTATGATCATAAGTTTCAGATGGCATGCAACATGTACGCAGTGCGTACCTATTTTTTTCTATAGTTTTACAATTCTGAACGATTTACAAGATTGTACGGATATACTACATCTATAATGCAATTGGATGGAGTCTGCCATGTATTATTAAATTACCATACTTGTTTCCAATCTATACCATATGGATGTCAGGAACATTGTATGTCACGATATGACATACCTAGCTATATGTACAGTAACCTGTTTTTCATCAGTATTGGACAATAATGATGGCCAACAATGCACACTACCTCTACATGCTAAATAAATACGAAACATCTACATATTGGACAAAAAAACCAATGGTCACACTTGGTTATCAAATGGAAAATACAGTAGACTGTCATTACTTTGAAATAATATGAAAACTTAACTTACAACAAGGTAGTCACACGTTTAAAGACATATGTTTGTTCTTCCTAATTGTGTTCTTCTAGACGTTTTGACAAGTGAAGACGGTTTAAAACATTGGTACCAACAATCACATGTAGTAATTATTGCATGTTGTAATTTCGATTTTTTTTAAACAAAATAAATTCATACATACAGTGTGATAAATGAATAAATTTATTGGTATAATCACTCCCCAGGGCTTTGGTTGTAAGGCAGCACTTTCCTTGCGATAGTAACTTCTAGTTACAACAGGCACGAGGCATGTTTATACAAATAGTAATTATAATAGTCCATGGTGGTGTTCGTGAGTCTCAACCAGGGTATTCGGAAAGTCAAATCGCGATCTGGAGTATGTTATTTTCTAAAATCTCTGTGACGTCAAAAAACGTCATAAATCTGATCATCCGTACAAACAAACATTCGTACAAACAAACATTCGTACATACAAATAAAATCGTGTTGTCGTTCAGCTATACATAACTCGGCCTTCCGGAAACGGACTGGTGCGAGAAAAACACATCGTCAAGAATAGGAGGCTGCCTTCGGCAACAATTAGAAATTTTTGTTGCTCATACCCTTTAATGGTAGTGAAAGTTAAATCTAAAGAAGAAAGCTTGGGATTGAGAGAGATTACAACTTCCTGAAAAATACAAATCAAGCAGAACTTCGACGTTTCGAGCGAAGCCCCTTCGTCGGGAAGTTAAGCTCGAGATATACACGAGCAACAAAATTGCTGCAACTGCAACAAAATCTGATTTCAACGCATGTTAAGTGAAAATGTTTACACATAAACTAGGGTACCTGCAAGGTAGGGATTGCTGCGGGCATTAAAAACAAATAGAACTACAGTAAATAGCACACATTATATATCAAGCACAGTTATTACTCGCAGCAACTAATGAGCTGTGAGCTTAAGGCCTTAAGCCAGTAAGGAATCGATTCTTACCATGAGTGGAACTGAGAAAAAGCAATATATTATATATTAAAGTAAGCCAAGACCAGGGGTTAAAGGGCAATCACAAGTGACAGATATTAAACATGTGCGTCTCATTGACATACAGGTAAATTAATTATATAACACAAGTTTTTTCTATCAGATTTCATATCAAGTCTGTTTTAATACTGCTAGGCGCATTTACCACATTATATAGACTATGTACACAAATGTATTACACTATATAAAAATATATAGAACTGTCAGTGGCCAAAGTCCATTGAGTGAACAACGCACGAATCAATGCAAAAATAACGAAAATTAGAACACCGAATCGTTTTGAAAACTTTGTGCTAAGCCGGAATGCCGAAGCGAAGGCCTTTCAATGCTTCCACGTATTCATGAAACATCATTTGCTGCAAAATATGTCCACTTTTGAAGACCCACTAGAAATATTGGCGCATGTGTAGTGAGGTGACACGGATTTATGAAAACTGCGCATACAAATGCGCACGACCACAATTCCGTGCGACGCTCAAAATCTGCTTTTATACTGCCTACTGCACAAATTAGGCTGCTGTTTCGCTCGCTTGCTTCAGGTTCGCTCGCTCCGCAGCAATTACAAATCACAAGGCAACATGTGTCGTCATTTCTACTTAAAGTAGCGGATAATTAATTAGCCGCATTATTCTGACACAATGCATGTGCAGTCTGTGCAATACGACTAAAATATGCTTTTCGGCCTTCGCTGCAAGTAAAAATACATACATTTGACAATTAGACAACAAAGCAAGAATTTTCTGAGCAGAGAAAGAACTTGTAAGAACACATCACGAGTTAGCTTTGAAAATTTTCCATGCAGGTGGTAGTCATGGCACTCTAAGCCCTCTAACACCTGTCCACTACTGCTCTAGTGGATTAGTAAAGGACAGTAAAGGCGAGTAAACACTAACCGCTTGATTAAGCGCTATCTTAATACAATGAAAATAATGAAATACTTCTTACTTGTTTCACAGATCTAGGCGCAGAGTCGCCTGGCAGCTCGCCCGGAACGCGTGACACAAACTGGACTCACTGCAAGCTCGCTAAACTCGTCAGGCTCAGTCGCTGTGTCATCTTCGGAGTCTGTCTCATACTCGTCAACTTGCTGTGTTAGCTCAGCCTCAATCACGTCCACAGTGGCCTCATCAACAAAAGTTATATTTGTTGACGGTTGGTCAGTCCGAAATTGAATGTTTGACGACTGTGGGTCATACACTTCAGACAACTTTCTGTACACAGCTGGTGGCAACGCACCTGCCTTGTCCTTTGTAGTCTCACTGCGAACTGTTCTTTGTCGAACTGGACGATAACTCTCTAGCCAATCTTTCATGATTTCTTCCGTTTTACGAGGAATTTCGTTTGGCGGAAGGGGTGTCATAACCTTTGTGGCCCAAAGAGGCATAACTGATTCCGGCACTGGATAATACGACTTGTCGTGTGTGTAGTATTTAGCCGCCCATGTTGTTGTTCTTTTGAGTGACTCCTTTACAATTGTGCCGAAGTCCTGGGCATATTGAAGAACACTAAATGTTTCATGTTTAAAATGTGAGACAGTGTGTAGGTTTTCCACTTGAGTCGTCAGAAGGGATTGAAGCGAGATGTTGTCGACAAAGTGGGAATTAATTCCCTCGATGTTCTTGCTCAATCTGCAGATTCCCTCGTTGAGCAACGCCGAAGATGTTTGAGTCTGGTGGGAAATTGTGCCTTCTGGGCCATTGGTTGTTGACGATTCTTTCAGGTTGTAGCGCTGCTTTACTTTGGTAACAGTATCTCGCATATACCTTTCTACTTCTTTCACTTTTTCTCTTGCACTCTGAAGTGAAACTTCATTCACGTTCCCACCAGGTACACATTTCGGGTGAATTTCAAAAGCATCGTAAAAGCTACCAAGCATTTGAAGAAATGTTATAGTACTGGAAAGGCCAGTTACTAATTTGACTTTTCCAGCAGAAACATCGGTTACAAACAGTGTGTTCTCCATATTACATATTCCTTGAACTTGCTCAAATGAACAGCTTGACTGCGTACCATCCCGAGACTTTGTCTCACCACTTCCCAAGAAGACAGATGCCGAGCTATCAACTTGGTGGTACTGTTTAACTTGTCCAGCTTTCGTGTCGGTAAACACAACAGTACCTAAAAAGCCATTAATTAAAATCGTGCTGTAAATAACAGTCATAACAGAAAATAGCAGTATAATCCAGTATGTTATGACTGTTATATAGCTGTGCTATATTAACAATTAATTACTAACAATTCTTTAAAAATCTTTACCAGTCTTACCATTAAAAGCACATATTCTGTTTACTTCTGTGGGGAAATTGACATCTGAAGAGTTGTCAAAAACCTTTTCCACTACCTGTGTACTAAACTTGCATCGATACAAGCCTCCATCGCATGACGCTGCCGAGAAATACGCACAATTGTCTAAAGACAAAACTGACTGTGTGTTATTAACACCGTTCGGATAAGAAACCAATTTGACAGGATAGCCACGGATTGTCACTCCATCAAATTCTAAAGTAATTTGAAAAATAACTCTCTTGGAATCGTCGCCACACAATAGGAAAACGTCACTGACAGCGCATATTGCTGATGGCTTTGATAACACTTCACAACCTTGTACATGATCTAAATAATCCGTGTCTTTAGATATACCTTCTATGTAATCTTGCAACCTCTTTCGTAGAACTGGGATTGTCCCATTAGTGTCGAGATTGAACCGCTCCAAATGGCTCACCAAGTCAACACGTCGTTTCAATAAAGTTGGTTTTATTTCAACGCATCCTGACAAATCGACAAATGAGAGCCGACGCGCCTCTTTCAGCAATGAACACAATCCATTTTCTGTAGCAAAGGTCCCTAGCATCTTTCAAATTCTCCTTTTTCACAGAAACATCAACCGGTTGGTGTAGCCGTGCTGTGAGGAGTTTAGCGGTGCAAGATTTAAAGTCATAGTCGATAATCAAGAACGAACGTTGCGGGCCTGGACATACTGCTATTGGTCGTGGACATCCTCCAGCTAAGTTGGTTTTCCAATATCTGTACTTTTCAGGAACAACCGTGTGAACTACTGTTTTCACCTGCTCCAGTACTTTCAAAACATTCGGCCGTGCGATTCTAACGATGGGTTCCACT